AAATATGTAAATGACATTTAAACAGCCTAGCAAAATGTCAGAAGTACCTCTAGACCAGATAAAGGGTTAACTATGTTTTCATAAACCATGCATGCAGAAGGTATGTGCTGTAGGTGAATGTATGAGAATCCAGTGGCCAGTGGTGGAGCTGCAGGCCAGCAAGTGCATGAATGCTGCATTGTTGGAATAGCCGAGAGGAGGGCCCGCAGCTAAGCTAACAAACATTTATCTAAACCAGCAAACATTTACAACAGCGTTGAAAGTGTTTCTATTGTTGGCTGATTTCAGCATGGTGGGCACAAACGGCTTGTAAAGCTCTTGGGCCTCCGTTGCTAATTGATCTAATAACGTTTCTATTTTTTTTCTGCGCTGACACACATCAGGCTGGCTTTGTTTGTTGACTCGGTTGCCTTGACAGCGGCAGTAGGAAGTTGTTGGGCGCCGGGCAGCGGTGCAGCAGATGGAATGAAGGGCGCGAAGGAAAAGAAGAAAAGAAAGTGAGGGCAGGAACATGAAAAATGCAAGCAGCAAGTCTGAACTTTCACCACAAGCATGTAAAATGAAAAAAAAGCATACCATATATTACTGTAATGCTACACTTTCGAGGGATATTTTGGATTCTGACCCTGTTCAGCAGAATGAATGTGCACGTGGTGCGTATACATGCGAGTGTGTGAGTATGAGTCAGTCAGGGGACTCATAGGGGCCGTATCATAAAGATATATATCATATAGTCCGCTTGAGTTCCACTTGAGATGAGCAACATGGCAAAAAATATCATAACACAAGACATTTTCATGGTGCTTGGTACAATATTTTGACACAGACACAACACACTAGTAGCGCCATATTTAAAAACAGCCACCAAAAACTGGGCATAATGACCTTTATTCAATACTTCACACACGGCACTGCACTTAAACTTTAAACGACACTAATTACGCTCATTTTGCAAAGGAACATGCGGTTGGTTAGTGTTTAAAATACTGACAATATCCACAACATGGTTAGAAAAATCTCATTGTCCATCACGATAGAAAAATCTATCAGGATAATGGTAAAATTAACATCATATCGCCCAGCTCTAGTTCCACTTGTACCTTTTGTGTAGCTTTATTAACCAACAAAAATATTTGAAGGCATATGATTCCCTAAATGTAACTAAAGCCCAGCAGTGAGGAGCTGAACTCTTCCCTCCTCTGCTATCACTGAAGACGGGCCGGGTTGCCTACAGAGCAGCGCTGGTAGCTGTTAATAAAGCAATTCTTTTAATTTGAGGGCTGTCCTACTCAGTTCCAAGGGGTTAGGGTGACACTCGAAAACATGGGGTAGGGGTAAAAAGAAGAAATGGGACTGGACCTTAGTCTCTTGCTGAATAATTTAAAAAGTATTTGAGCCGGAGTGACTGTTTATTTTATACAAACAAACTAACCATCTCTCCTCCATCAGAAACGTAAAGTTAGTTTCCAGCGCCTACCCTTTATGAACAATTCAAAGGAAATGTAAATGCTACAATTTACGCCGTAGGGCTAAAAATCAGACTGGATGGATGCAAACAAAATTAATTCAATACAGTTCTATATTTTGTGAACTGGATGAGTTTTCCGACCAAAATACATAAATTATACTAATCAAAATAACTATGATTAGTGAAGAGAGACTGTGTTAACTGTGGAAAATTCATTTTTCACCACAAAGTGGAAGAGCAAATATCAGAATGATCAAATGTGAACATATTTTATTTACACTACAACTATATTATATGTCTATGCATAAAATCGTCCAAAAAATGAACTGCTCTGAATTTACACAGGGGTGGGTTTGCACTATTTTTCACTGCATTCACTAGGTGGCTTATTTGCAACACTGCACTACAACTAACCCCACCATGTGGAAACTGCACTCTAGCCTGGGTGGCTCTCACTGGGAGTTGTTTATATGCTTCAAAACTTTGCTATGTTACTGGCACCAGAAGGGTGATTAACATATTATGTGTCTTATACACAGAAATCATGATGAAGAAAAAGGGCACTTCAATGGTACAAAAGCAGTCTTCAGGGTGAATCTGGAGAGAAATCTTTCTGACGGCAGTTAAAATTCACAGATGACGCTATGGGAGTCAGAGAAGATAAACAAACACATTCTACTTGGACCTGTTTAACTACATAAAACATATTACATTTTACCCCACATTATTTGTGCCCCGCTCACCCTGTCCAGACTTCAGAGACTACAACAGGACTTGAAGTGCTTAGACAGCAGAGATGAGACTGGTGTAAGCGCAGACAGAGTTGCTGTTTTCTTTCTTTCTTTATCTACCCTTTCTTCAGAAGTGATGCCAAGGAGAAGAAAAGAGGAAGAGTGAGGGCTCTCCACACACGTCCAGTCTGAATGTGAAATCGAACGCCTGCACATCTGCTTAAACTCACTCAGCAGAACGGAGCCTTCCAGCAGGATCTCAGTGTTCCTGCAGGACTGAGAGTGTGGGATACTGCAGCACAGGAATGGGATAAAAGTGACCACATCCTATTGAAGCGAATTTGGGACGCGTCCCCAAATACACCATCATCAGAAGTAAAACTAAACGTAAAGGTGTGCAGCATCTCTCATTGGTTGATATACCAACCACTCATAAATTATATATCATAAATAATAAAAAACTGTATTATTTTAACTGGTTCGATTTTGAAATTACAGCACATAATCATAACTGATAACTTGGCACTCTATTATTGCCAACGTAAAAAAGGTGGCCATTATTTTTTAATGATTCTATTATCAACAAATTGTTTACAATAAATGTCACATGGAATCTACTGGTCATGTTTATGTATAATTAGTCCAGTTTTCATTTTCTTTACTTTACTAGTCAACTTAGGCATTTTGGTCAGAATTATGGACAAAAACATTAAAAATTCATTTTACAGAACCATTTTCCAACTTCTCTTTTTCCCCTTGAAATAAATAGGTTGTGTTTCTTAATGTGCCTTTAAGACTGATAAACGTAAATGAGCTCTGTTCTGACTGACTGGCCTGTACTGTGCCTCAAAACGTAGTCTGGGCTAAAACTCTCCTTAAAACTTTTACCTAAAGCTTGAATGGGCGGGGCTAAACTGCTACAGGCTGAATAGACGGATATATGTAAATGCACAGTTTTTCACAAAAACAATACATTTAAAATGGGCTGCTTTTGGCTGTTTAATGTCCACATATGGACATTATGGAGTGAGACGTTAACGGTAAGCTCTGAAACTTTAGCAATGTTTATATCGGGATAGGCAACCCAAAATGTTAAGAAGAGCCATTTTGTCCTTTCAGCAAAAATGAAACCACCTTGGGAGCCACAACATTTTACAATTATTTTACCATTTTGGTTGTAAATATGTCTCAGTATGTGCTGATGTGTTAGTATAGGCCAAAAATTTGATATTAACGAGAACACAGACTTACTTTACTCTGCTTTAATCTTCAGCTCAGCTATAGCTGGTTTTCTCGCATCTCCAGCAGGAAACTTTTTCAAACGTTTCTTATAAAATATCTCTCAATATTCAATTTTTACGACACTGAGGTCAGCTTCCCATTCGTCAGGTTCTTGTTTGAATTTTCCTGTTCCACCTTAAACGGTTCAGCAGGTAGGAGAAGCTGGTGAATGAGAAGCTGAATTCAGCTTTGTGACTTTTTAGAGTCTGACAGTTTCTTGTTGCAGATTAAACGTATCAGGAAACCAGCTGGATGGATTATAAATGCAAATAAGTCCATTCGTCTCCGAATTATCTGAATTATTACATCTCTCTTTGCCTTTTCGTTACCTACTAGCTTAGCGAGATTGTTATCTGCACTGCTAGTCTGCGCACCAACCTTAAGGGTTAAAGGGTGAATTAGCAGATACATATTAACTCCAACGTTTAAGACCATTTATTGTTATAACTGGGTTACAACAATGAGCAGAGGTTTATTTTACTGCAAAGGAGGATTGTTTTATTATTCTATTTTATTATTATAATCAAATTCTGCTGTGGAGCTGCAAGAGGGCAGAAAAAGAGCAGTATGCGGCTCTGGAACCACACGTTGCCCACCTCTGGTTTATATACAACATCAAACTCTTTTTCAAGCAAAATTTTCATGATATGGGCTCTTTAAACTGCAAAAAGTAAAATGATCATTTAATGCTCAACAAGGTGACCGTTACTGGCCCAGAAATTCCATATTGGTGCTTTCTTATGAAAAACTAGGGGACATTCAGCTCAGTGTTCATCTCCTGCACTCAAAGACAGTGGAAACAATGACGGGTGAGATTAAACTACAGTTTCGATGAACTAATCCACTACCTAATTTTCCATTTTCTCATCTCCGTTCTTTCTTCGGGATCCTCTCTCTTCAGTGAATCCACATGAAAGTGTGCGTGCAGTCGTGGCCCAGAATGAAAACAAAGTGGCGCTTTGAGGCTCGGGATGCCATGTGAATGGGTCTTCAGGGTTTATGACTGCTGAGAGCGCGGTGGTAAAATATTGATGCTGTCACCCCTTCAAACTGCACTCGAGCTGAGAAATATCTACTAAACTCTCTGTGACGTGATGGTTCCATTCCATCTTCCCCCCGAGGCTGCTAGAATGCAGCTAGAGACGCAGACCACCCTGCACACGAACTACACGGGCTACCAGAATGAGCACGGGAGTCGCAAAGCATGAAAAAGAAAGGTATACAGAGGTGTTTCATATATTGCATATCAACTCTAAGGTATGCCAGCCTTTCTTATTTTCCTGCTTAACATTTCGTGACGAGTGGCGCAGAATTTCCCTTTAGGTGGCCAGACTGGGGACCAAGCTAGCAAGCATTAAGGCCCAGAGACATCGCAATACTGTGACTTACAGCCACCAAATACCCAATTTCATTACAGCACAATCATTTTTATATATTAAACACAACACTCCATTTCTTATCTCACATTTACCTGGTGATACTTTTTCCATAAACAACGTCATCAAATCAGTTTCACTCACCTCCTGGTTGAGGGTGGAGCTGTGGGCTGCGGTCCCGTCCTCTCTGCTCTTCACCAAGCGGTTACACAGCACCATGGTGATCAGAGAGATGATGAAGATGCCCAGATCAGGGGCCAGGAGCCGCACCACTGTCCAGGGCTCATCCAGGGGCAGCCTGCAGGGGTGCCATCACAAGCAGTCATTCAAAATTGTACTGCACACTGTACACTAAAGGCCAAAGGTTACAAAGTAGCACTAATTTTGAGGGTGAATGAGTTTGTCTCCCCAGCTGATTCTTCTGTAGAGTTTTATTGCAGCTCTAAAGCCAAAGTTACACTACACAACTTTTACCCTGACTTTAGTCTCGATTTTCAGTCTGACCGACTCGGTGCTGGTTGGCCGTAGTCTGCAGACTGTGGTGCATTTACTGTTGAGTAGTGTGTGCACACTTTTTGCAAGACTTTTTGCCTCCCAATGGGGTTGGGTGGCATCTACATGATTCATACCTTCAAACTGTTTCCAAACATTACCGCAAAATACAGTATTACTGGTTTTGCGCTTTTGTACCAACTCGCCTTCATTATTTCTTAATCGAAAAAATGGTTAGGTTACATGGTCAATAAATGAGTGGACACAGGGCATGATTTTCAAGCCATCATTCAAAAAATGTCAAATCATCTAACAACTGCTAAATGTTAGACAGTGCTGCTAACTAGGAGAGAGGAGCAGGTTAGCATTAGCTTAGCTAGCATGATAACAGCTCTGCTCACCACAGAACATGTTGGATTCTCACTAACTGACACAAGTTTAGAGGATAATGAACCAAATCTGAAGGAATGCAGCAACTGAACGGACAGAAAGGCAAAACGAAACCTGTTGTGTTTGCATCTGTAGTCTGATCGGCTAACTTGGCATTAGCTTAGCGAGTGGGCTACAGACTGAAACAGTGCCACACACCACAGTAAAGTTCTGATTCTGACTGACTGCTGCTCTGGATGATAAAAACGAATGTCAGAGAGAGCAAAAGTCGAGTGACTGATGTTGGAGTGACAGAAAGGTAAAATAGAACCGGTTCTGCTGTGTTTTGGAGTGTAGCGATTTGGCTTAGCTTAGTTAGCAGGACTAACGTAACACACACCACAGCACAAGCTCGGTTCCAGCTAACTGATGCTAAAATAACACTCGCTGTGAGAACACCTGAGCGTGCAGAGACTAGTGCTTAAGTGAAAGCTAAGATTAGCCGTCACTGAGCCGCTATCAAGTTTAGTTTTTCTGAGGTTTTTCCTGGCTCAGATTTTTCCCCCTCTTTCTGTAAGCCCACCCTATCAGTCAGCTTCCACGCCACCAATCAGTGACCCCTCTATAATATGTTTATTTCTCTCTTCTGACATGGATTAGAAATTCGACATCATAATTTTGAAATACTGTCATCATCTTTAATATTGTGGTACACCTTTCTATGCCAACCAATCCTACCTCCCGACTGAGTTTCACACAAGTTGGAGAATCAAATGTGTCTGATTTTTTTCGATCAAACCTGCATGTAATATCATAGTGGATATTGGTCAACAGCTCAGTCTGAACAGATTCCTACAACAGCCAATGAAAAGTGAGAGTGTGATATAATAGTAAATACAGCAAATAAACAAAGAAAAATGCACAGGAGACACTCAGCAAAGTTTTTAAAGAACTGAGTTTAAGTCATGAGCACAGTTGAGTGGACGTATATGTAAAATTATTATTATTACAGCTACCACACTGACCACATTTTCACACCCATCTCAATATGTTTCCCTGTTGCTTCTTTACTGTTGCAGCAAAAACAGCAGCAGTAACAACCTGCTCTATATTTGACCACATGGACTGCTAACGCAACTTGAAACCTATTAGTAGATTTAATCTCTGCTGTGAAGTCGCAGCTGATTAAGGTGGGCCTTCATTGCTGTTGGGGGCACACTGGATGTTTATGCTATAAATGCTAAGTGTTAAGGTGGCCTTGACCATATCTGAAAGTGGTTTGAGTTGAGATGCACTGGACCCAGTTAACAAGGGTACCAAGCACTGTCCACTTTTGATTGGATCACCCAAGATGCCTGTTAATGCCAGGTGTGAATGGGGCCTAAGCTACTACTTACTACAATTCCCAGTATCCTGGTAGGGAATTATATTGAATACGTACCTGGACACACCAATATGCCTCGTCAGCGTATCCCATGAGCTACCTGTGAAGATACAGAGGAATGTATAGTGATAAAACATAGACGTCTGCTGGTGCTGATACATAATATAATGTAGAAACTAGTAATACACCTGGATTAGCATTGAATATAACTTATTTCTACAGGACTACACATGCGATAAAATGAACTAAGTCTTTCACGTTTTATCATGCTTTTGTCATGTTTTGATGTCAAAACATCAAAGCAAATGAAAAAAACATTAAAGGATCAGATTAGTGATATATTTTATTACAAACTTATGTAACTGAGTAAGGATTTATGCCTTTCATTTAAATAATTATATAATTTAACTCAACAATAACTCTAGACGTTTAAGGGCTAAATCAGGAGTTGCCCAGAAAAATGGTCAACACATGCAAACCAAGCACTGAGGCCCAGTCAAAGCTTCCAAAAAGCATTCCCATGAGGCTTTGCAAACCTCAGGGGGGAGTCAGCCAAGGGCGGCAGGCACGCGTTTTGAAGCCGGCTGACTCCCAGCACTTCACACACTCCTGCAGAGAGCCGGGCTGCATTTTTACATTCCTTTAGCTCCTTCAGGATGAACTGACGAGGAAAAGAAGCAGCGGCATCCAAGCCACAAACAGAAATAAATCGGAGAGGCTAATAGCTGCGGCCGTGTGGCTTCACCGACAGCCTCCATGTCATTCCTCATTTAGAGCCGCTGAAGGAGCAGAGAACGGAGTGTGTGAGAGTGTCCCAGCTCTGTGTGTGTGTGTGTGTGTCTGTGTGTGTGTGTGTGTGTGTGTGTGTGTGTGAAAAAGTTGGAAGAAGATGATTCAGAGGCTGTGAAAGTACTAAATTGGATTGAATCATTACGAGTCAACAATCAGCATGTATGACTGTAGCTGTTGTGTTCCAGTTAGTATCTTGAGCAGCTTTTGAAATGACTGGTCTATCCCTTGTTATTTAGAACAAAAAGAGATATATATAAAAAATCTGAATGAGCAGGAGGACTATAACTAAAACATCACCTACACACCATTTCAGGCACTTTCCTCCTCCTCCTCCTCCTCCTCCTTTGTCTCCACATCTTTAACCCTTTAAACTGCAAACTTATTATTCCATTATTAATCTTGAGGCTTTTTTCAGTACTATGAATGATTCAGTAACTACTGGCTATAAACTCATTCAGTAGCTCCTAAGAATGAATCAGTTGCTTCTATGAATTATTCAGTAACTGCTGTGAATCTGATGTGTAAGTTATGTAATATGAGATCAAGGTATTGAAGTGTGACTCTAACGCCCAATCGCATTTTCACCCCTTGCCCCTACCACTTAGTCCTTAGCCCTTCGTTTTGGGCGTTCGTTCACGCCTAGGGTTAGGGTGTCCTGCTTCTTGTTGAGATAGAGGGGTAGGGCGAAGTGTTAGAGCTACATGACCCTCCAAACAGAGGTTTCTCAGAGACTCCAAACAGAGTGTTATGAAGGAAAAAAGAAAAACCGTAAAGATGGCTGAACAAGAGACCGAAGAAACACACAAATGTGAGAATTTTCTCTGTTAGAAACTACAATAACCACTGTTTTATCTTAGTTTACGGTCATTTCAGTGTATTATGGTCCTTTTCTTCACAACAAGCACCAAACATTGCTAGTAGTTTGCTGATGTCTCGGTACCTAGCTAAATTTCCCATTCCATCTTAAATAGTCCAGCAGTACTTGAGCCATACTGACGCCAGAATGTATTTGCTGCTCCATTTAAGGTGGAAATGGAAAACTGGAACGAGAAGCTAGCTGACATCAGCTTCATATCACTGAAGAATTAGTGGTGGGTGATAATAAATAATTGTCCCTCTTTGACGATCATATGATGCCCTAAATGTAACTAAAGCCCAGCAGTGAGGAGCTGAACTTTACCCTCCTCTGCTGTCACTGCAGACTGGCAGGGTCGCCTACAGAGCAGCGCTGGTAGCTGTTAACGAAGTGATGTTTTTATTTGAGGGTCCCATTTCATAGAGGAAGATTTCAACCACTACCCCTTGTAACTCAGTTCCAAGGGGCAAGATGACTCTCGAAAACGAGGGGTAGGGGCAAAAATAAGAAATGGGATTGGGCCTAAGGGTTTAAAGAGTTAACACTGTATATTTACTTACATAATATACAGAAATATGTCATAATGCAGTTATAATGCAATGTGAAGGAATTTACTGCACTAGTGCAGCAGCAGCCATGGCGCAACTTCAGGGATTAGATTCATCAGACACACATATCTGCATGATGTGGCTGCTCTGAAGTCATGAACCCAGTTGACAGTGGATTTGATGGGTCAGTACGCAGTTTACTCACAGTTCTGTCCCAGTGCATAGTCCAGGTCTGGGACGGTGTAGAGGCAAATCTGGAAGCAGACATGAGCCAGCAGAAAGAGCAGACTGGTGCTGAATAAAGCCTTAATGAACCGCCCTGTGTGACCTGCAGGGGGAATAAAAAGCAACACAGAGGTAAAATTAGACAGGAAACATAGCCACACAGAACACTACCATTGCTTGATCTCGGTGTTACTTTTCAATTGTTAGTTAGTATTATTTACAAATTATATCCATTAGTAACAATTTATAATACATTTTTAAAGGAACAACAGCAGCACACAATGGAAAAAACACTTATTTTTCTAATGAAGATAGCATTAATCATAATATACGACTGATATAAGAGTAAAGTTCCCTCCCAAGAACACATATCATAAAAAAATTCCTGAAGGTGGTCATTTTGTCTTCTTTGGTATGAAGAGCAGGTTTTAAATAAGGATGTCAGTTTTCTTTTCCAAACTACTGTTAAAAACACATAAAGAAACTCTTTTGGCCCAAAAGTGGTTTAAACCAAAGCCAATGAGTGCTGAAATCACGACGGGAGAGAAGGAGTAGCTTTTGTCTTTTTTTCAAGGCACAACTTTTATCAGTTTTTCTTTCAATTTAACAGTTTTTGCAAATAAACATGTCAAGATCTAAACAGCTTTTTACAACATCGTAGACTTTGACAATAAAGTCATAATATTTTGAGATAAAAAGTCATACTGTATGAAATTTTGAGAATAAAGTCATAATATTTAAAGAATAAAGTTGTGATATTTCAAAAAGTTGTGGAATTATGACAGTAAAGTGGCACTAATACCAGGAAAAGTCACAATAAAGTGGCCAAAGGGTTTGCTAAAGGAAGGCAGCACCTCCTCATGTTAAATGAGGGGCGTTAAGGAACTGGTAGAGTTTTACGTTCGTCGGTTTCACCAACAAAGAAATACTCAGTCTCCCTGTCTCTCCTGGCACATCAGCACCAGATTATCATAGTATAAGAACACTGAAACGGCTGTGCAAGAAACTGTGTTTATTTAGAATAAAGAACCAGACGGACTCTGGAAACTGGTCTGTTTTGTTGAAGGAGAACCGCAGGCAGGGTCGTCCACACCTATCGGGGCTACATCTCCACACCATTCAAAGAGGACATGAAGTTTCACAGACAAGGAAAACGATAATCAAAATGACCGATCCTGATGGAGTGAGTGAAGCTCCGGCACCCTCGGCGTCATTGTTGTCGCCAGTACAGCAACCGAGACCCCAATGCGTTATGACAGTCCCCCCTACAGTTAGACCACTTTATCCTTGAAATATCGCGAGTTTATTCTTGTACCTTTTACAATTTTATTATCAAAATATTATGACTTTATTCTTGAAATACTACAACTTCATTCTCAGTGTTTTTTGTTTTGGTTTTTTTAAAACAGTGGCCCCAAAACACAAAAAAAGTCCATAAGTTTAAATATAACATACAGCAGAAAAAGGTGGGGAACAAAATGTTCCCGCAAAACTGAACACAGAGTACAGACAGGCACGAGTCAGACAGCAGACTGACGGAGTTTACGATGGGTCATTACATGCTCAGTTAGAGTGCGAGCTGGTTACGGCCTGAGTCACAGCAATAATGTGCAGGAGCTGCTCGTAAGACTTAATCAACATGTACAAATCACCCCTTAAACTGCAGGCTAATGTTAAAGGGCCCATGCTATAGTCACTGTGCATTAGCCCAGAGAGCTTTTTGAATGAGGCACAGTACTGAGCAGCCAATCACAGCAGAGATCATTTACAAAGATCAGTCTTAAAGGCACAGTAGTAACAAAAACAGCCTGACTAATTGTAAGGAATAAGGAGAGACTGAAAAAGGGTATAAAAATGAATTATGATTAGTTTTCATACATAAAAACACACAAATGTCATAATCGGACCGCTGGAGGGGGAAAAAAGAGTCACCCAAATACAGGATTTCCAAGATTATTGGGAGTTTCCATCCTGAAATGACTGCTGCCAGCAGTATAAGAAGTCAGTAAAGCTGTGAGGAGATATCTGCAGCGGGTTCGTCCTGCAGTAACCTTCACCAAGCTTTCACCACAGTGAGGAGGCTGATGTCCGTGAAGCTGTCAACTCCTATTATGGAGGTTAAAAAAAGACTTGCAGAGGAACAAACACTGTCTGGACCACAGCAGCAGATATACGCTTACTGTCTATAGCACCATATGTTTTCATCCTATACATATCACACATGAGCCTAGCTAGTTTTACAAGCCTACATCAGATATAAGCCTACGTTTTTACCAGATACCACTTCGGTTCCAGTTGTGGTGCAAGATAAAACGTCTCCATTATGGGTGGTCTAACTGCATATCGCTTTTAATTAGCCCTACTAAAGTACCCCAAAGTCATAATTTAAACCCCAAAAAGTGAATCTATGTTGAATAAATAATCGCTAAATATTGTTATGTATACTGTTATAATGAAGAAACTACTAAAAATGCACAGAAGCATCCCAAAACCTTAACACCCATTAAAAACGTGAAGATCTATGAATATGCATGCTTACGCAAATGCATGCTTACGCAAACCCCGCCCCTTCCCCTAACAACCCTGCACTGTCTATGTTTGAACAGACCGAGCAGATCAGAAACGAAGCTCCCGCTGAAACTTTAATAATCAGAAAATAAAGCTAATAGCTTAGCTCAACACACCACAGAGCAGGTTAGATTCCGTCTTTGTGTCACTCAAACACTGTCATTCAGCTTCACTCACTCAGTTTTGAGTCTTTATCCTCTAAAACTGCCTCATTTCTGCAGTCAGCTTGAATCCGTGGTGGTGTGTGAAGTTGTTTAACATTCTTACCAGAGCTAATGAGCCTCTGCTGCTAACAACGATAGGAAAAAAGTAGCTTGAGCTAACAGGTCCACACACAAAATCACAGGTTTACCTGCTTACACTTGAGTCTCTATTCTTTAACGTTGTGCCAGTGAGGCGTCGCTAAGCCGGAACTGAACTTGTGTGGTGGTGTGTAAAGCTGTTTTAGCCTTCTCTCTAAGCTAAAGTTAACTTCTAGTGCATAAGTTATCAGTTATCAGATTATTAAATGCTTATAAACGCACTCTTTGACCATTTTTTATCATCATAATTGGCTCCAGGAACATTTCGACGCAGGCGAATGTAAAGTAGGAAAGAGTCTGAGTTTGAGAAGTGTGAGTTTGTTTAATTACCAGCTTTAAACATTGCTAATGCAGCTCAGCAGCCGCTGTGAACACAAACCACGGTCACAAAAATGTTTTCGAAATGTCCTTCACTGCTCTGCACCCCATTCTACATCTTCTTCATAATTAGGGTTGCAGTAAACAACGATTAGAAAAAAAAATAAAACCAAAAACAAACAGTATTTTTCACAGAATGTTGTGGAAACAGGATGAGGCTGAATTCGGCTTCTTATTTGCCAGCTTCTTATTCAAATTTTCGGTTCCACCATAAAAGATGCAGCAGGTACATTCTGGCATCGGGGCACCGTTAGGTAACCAGCACATTATGTAAGGTGGAACGGAAATTCTGAATAAGAAGCTGGCAAACACAAAGCGAAAAGAGGAACAAGATAACATCAAACTGCCCCGGCATGAAAACTTGGTTCCTTTTCAGAGAAATAAAGAAGAATTTAAAAATGGTTCCTTTTCAAAGAATTATGACTACAGTAATGATATTTTTAGTATATCAGTTTTATTTCCCCACTCAGTTATATGAAATAGGCTGATGGTAAGATGTGTCGAAATTGTTAGACAGCTGTAATCATTTGTCAAGCTACCTGATATCACTTGCTTTCTACCAATTTTCATCATATCAATATAATCTGTAGCTACTCAAAATGGGGTAAACTATGTTTGGGATGGTTTCATCTCTGCTACATCCCTTTATCATTGGCTCTGGTGAGCTCAAGGCCTCATCGACACCAGAGATAAAGCGCTGTGTCTGTCACTGAAAAGATTTGGGATCCATAGTCTTTATTTTAGAATATTAACTGAAAATGTGTTATTCTGTTTCCCAAACTTAGTCGCAGCCAATTCCACCTGCTAGCTAGGCCACATGAAGCTGTGGAGGGTGTGGAAGGGTGAAGGCCAGCACTTGGGACATGTCAAGCGCCGCCACATCTTTTCAAAATGCTGCCAACACAACGTCGGACACGCTTGGAGGAGAACATTGGCTGCAAATTCTGTTATGTCAACAAAGAGATGCCCGCGTTAACTAGCACCGCGCTGAGTGATGTGGGAGAGAGAGGACCGTCCTACCCACCAAATGAGGGAAATGACAGTTATGCTCTTGGACTCTCAGCCATGTGTGACAGCAGGGTGACCAGGGAGAGCCAGACTGTTGCTTCACTCAGGAACTCCAAAAGTTACTCCTTTTAATAAAAATGTGATTCATTTTTAACTGGATTCTGTGCGTGTGTACTTGTGGACAACCAGCCTATGGGGTTACAGCAGACTGGACCATGAAGTTGAGCAGAAAATGAGCTTTTTCATAGACTCAGTGTTTTTAACCCAAGCTTTCAGTGTGTTTTTAAGGCGATGTTTTTCTTAGTGGCCGGCAGAGAGGGTCTTTTTATGGCTCATTTGCCCATAGTCATTTCTAATTAAAAGCAGATATGAGGCCTAGAGAAAGTGCCTGACTTCAGCTCAAAGGTGTTCATTTACATGCTGCACAGAAATAGCACATAAGCTCTACAGACGACAGTGTTAATGCAGTACAGTGAGGCTTTATTACAGAGCGCGCTGAAGATTATGTGTAATACTGTAACACTGAGCTTTAGTTGTGTTTGTAGTGAACTGCTCTCATTTTTACACTCCACCCACACTGTTTTTCACACATGCACTATTTTTCCCCACTGGGTAAAGAACACACAGAGTAATAGCTGGAGTATAAGATGCAATCAGGCAAGTCTAAATGCTGCATTGTGAAGAGGGGAAACAGTCATACTACAACAGTGTGACCTTCTAGCTGTACCACGCTGGGACAATAAAGCTGAATTTAAGAGCTACAAAGAAAGTGTGGGTGTGGCTGATCATACACTGCTTCTGTGTGGCCACAACTCCACTGCAAGGAAGTCTCTTTTCTCCTGGGGTG